ATAACATCATATATTTTATAATTTATTTATATTGGAACGGAATGTGTTGATTAGAACTAACCGATATATTTTTGTAGAACTATGTCGATAATCTCATAATTTTTATTATAATTTTTATAATTATTGCATTATTAAAATTATTAGTGAATCAATTAAGATTTTAAAATTGTAGAGTCTTATTTTGGTAAAACTATCTGTCTATTCATATAGACATTACAGATAGTTGTGGTGAATGACAAAGGTAATTTAATTAAAATATCAAACACTTAGTCATAAGAATTCACAAAAATGTTGCGAATGAAAATTTGCATAAAAGACAATGTTACAATAAAAGTTACTCAATTTGGCAATGAAATGAATTCTTAAATTATTTTTCATTTCTTAACAATGCACAGTCAGTAAAGTTTATCAACATACTTTTAGAATAGTATGTCATGCAGATTAGTACAATGAAGCAAACACAATTAAATATTTTCTCACATATATCAGATGTGCTAGAATTATTAACAATTTGAAATATAGTGAAGTAAAAAAAGATTCAATATATAAAATTGAATTCTATGAAGATTTATGAACTATCCAGGTTACATGTATGCAGTTTCATAGATTTTTATAAAGCATTAATAAAAAAAACTACACGTTTCGGATGAAGTCTTAGGAGTCTGCATTCAATCAATTGGGTGGATTTGAAATAAAACTGTATTAAAAAGTCATATAAATGTTGTGAATAAGCTTGATCTTTTTTTTAAACCTAAGATTTCAGGAAATCAGGTATTGTACAATTTCAAGGAATTTTACAATAGACCTATGTACATATATAAGATTTTCAAACTTGATATCAATTAGAAAGGTGATAATTAACCATTACAAATTTAATAAATCTGTATATCAAGATCTATATTGAGACTGCCATTTAGTGAAACAACAAACTAGGAAACAATAAAATAATGATACTATTATAAAATAATAACACTATTATAAAATAATAATACTATTATAAAATAATAATACTAATAATATATGAATTTTTACTTAGTACCAGCAAAAGTTCTCTGATAGTGACTACAAAATAATCCTCGACTATTCATCAAATGTTATAAAAACTATATAAAAGAAGACACAACTATTTTGTTCTATTTTCATCATTTTTCCAAAACATTTTATAAGAAGCTTTTTATCCACATTTTGTACTTTAAAAACTGTACACTTGATTTTAATATTTTATTTTATTTTATTTTTCATGAACTACGAATTACACTTATGTTGTTTAAATTGTTTACTTTTTTGTATATTATTTTTTTTTCAATTTCAAACATTTTATTTTTGTAGAATACATATAGGGTAGGGCAGGTCACAAAGGTCGAATTTGACTTTGAGCAATGATATTGTTAAAGCCAAAATTATATCATAACAAATAACACATAATAAACAAACAACTTTCTGACTATGTTCAGTAAAAATCCTAGCTAATTCATCATTCTAGAAATGGGTTTTTTCGCTGTGTTACAAAAATTTGTAACATGGTCTTTTTCACCTTATATGCAAAGTAAATTGGGACAAGAAAGTGGGCAAACAGGACCAACATTTAATTTTAATTTTAAAGGATTTTTACAAAATGACATTATTCTGCTATTTCGTTTTGAGATATTGGTGGTAGACCTTTTTACCCGCGGACGTTTAAGCCCGCTCTACCATTTACTATATTGAAATTATTAGTGAAAAAATTAAGAAAATATGAATGAAAAAAAAAATATTATTTTTTTTAATGAAAAAAAGAAAATTAAAAAAAAAGTTTTCTCTACTGAATGACGATATCTATGTAGACTGAATCGTACAGATTTAATAAATTCGTAATTGATTAAATACACAGTTTTTTAATTGACGTCGTTTTGGGGTTGCGGCCATTTATTGGCGATTATTTTACATTTGGCGACCAATAATGATTATTAGGCATATGCACATTAAATTATCAGATGTTTTTTTAAGATTTTAGTGATAGGTTGTAATTCTGTTTACACTTCTATGGGTTCCGTACCAAGATTTATAATGTTTAATCGTTGGTCTGCAACGCAATCAGAAAAATCATATATATGAGATGCAAAAATCTGATTATGAAAATTTATATTATTGTTGAGCCTGTTTGATGGATAAATTTAATAAATAATATAAAGAAATATAAATATAAAGGATGAAGGATTTTGCTATTTGTGGTATTATACTCTTTTGCAGGAAAAGGGATTAATAATTTAATAAAACAATAAATTTAATTAAATTTTTCAATTTCTCCGGCACTGTACACCGTATAATTTTATTATTGTTAACAATCTCTTCCATAAATGTGTTGCGATGACCGCACAAGGTTGTTAGAAATCATCATAATGTTTTTTCTGTTCTTTATTTATGTGTATCTATTGTTGAATCGTGGGCGATACATCGTAGTATATGGTTATTGGATACGCTTTTTGCTAAAATCGATTTCAGGAAGTAATTGTCTATTGAATGGCAATGATTCATATTGAGAAGATCGGCGCTTTTGTATTTGGTTTTTTAGAGTTTAGTGATCATAGATTATAGTCGGTCAGTCAGTCCGTAAACAATTGTTAATATTTTCGAAGAACAACAAAATCATTATACAATAAATGATATTGTTGATATGCAAATTAGTTTCTAGGTCATGACAAAGTATTTCGTTTAGTTGTGAACAATTTATTAACTTCCCGTGGGGTAAGTCATAGTAACCGTCCAAGAACCGAAAATGAAATTTTTTGCATATATTTACGTTTCAGAGGTTTTTGAACATTTTGGCATACCCTGGTAAAATTGATGTATGTGTGGATACAATTTTTCGTCGACGGTTTCGAGCATACAGATCAACCGATTTGAATGATTCAATGGGCAATCGATTACTATTCATGGAGAGAGGTGTTGATTAGTTTTTGGCGAAGACATGCCTAGCGGTTTCAGGATTACAAAGAAAAAAATGTTGGCAATTGACATTTGGCGGTCAAAAATGACCATTAGACATATGTACATCAAAGTATCAGATATTTTATAGAAATTTTAAAAATAGGTTCAAATTCTGTTTACACTTTTCTGGGTTCCGTACCAAGATTTATAATGTTTAACGCAGTCAGTAAAATCTAAGTTTTTCAAAATTTTCAAAAACTTAAAGATTTAAAAACTTTAAATTATGGTACAAGAAGTTCCAGCAATTTGTCTTAAAGCACGATTCCATGCACCACTAGTTTTGAAATCAATTGTTCGGAATGAAATTTAGTTTTAGGGTTGTATGGTTTTAAAAAAAAAAATCACTGCTTTTATTTGAGTTCGAAGACTCCAAACTTTGTCCCTGAGTAGAAAAAATATTTTTTTATAATTTTTTATTCAAAAAAAGAGAGTTGCCATAAATTTTTTAAGTTATTATTGAAATTTTATTATATTGTTTTTTACTTTGAATAATTTTAAAACGAGTATTGTTTTCATTTTGTACCTTTACAAATACTTGATAAGTATTTGTAAAATTTATTTTTAAAAACAAATTTAATAAAATATGCGTAATATAGGTAATTTTTTTCAAGTAGAGAATGAGAGTTTTTATTATATGATTATTTATAATAATAATAATACACTAGATATAGGTTTGACACAAATTCAAATTTTTTACTGAATATTTTAAGGTATTTACTTTAAATTTCACAAAGCAAATTTATCATTAATAATCACTAAAAGTCAGTAATAATAAAATTAATTTTCTAGTTGGTGTAATTGTTGTGCCATTATGAATATATTATATTTGATTCTATGATTCATCTAATTATCGATAATTAATTTAAATAGTATTAAATTATACAGAAGTTCGATCATTAGCTTTTCAATCAAGATATTTTATTGTGAACATTTAAATATAACATTATTGCATTAATATGATGATACAATATAAAATCAATTTATTACATGAAAGGTATCAATTATAAAATATTATTACCTGTATACTGCAAATAACGCATATATTTGAAAGTATTATAACATTATTGCATGAACTGATGATCTAATATAGAATCAATTTATTACATAAAATGTATCAATTATAAAATTTATTGCTTCAATACTTGCACCTGGATATATATATATATATATATATATATATATATATATATATAAATATACATATATGCAGGTGTGTATGTATGTATGTATGTCAGTGGCTTTAGTAATTTGAGGTAAATCACTTAGAAATAAAAACCTATTCCATTTTAAAAATGTTGATTTAAATTAATTATATTTTGAAATTAATTTAAAATTATTGTTCATAAATTCCAATGAAATTTAGATTATATATTCTTCAAGGATAACTGTAAAAACATATATTCATATCATTGATGTACTTATATTCTTGCATTTAATGAATTATACCATGCATTTCTCTGAATTAAACCTCAATTTTATTTTTTAGAAATATTAATGAACTTGATTACATTTGGAATTATTAAGTTTAAATTATTGATTATTAGTATTTAGAAGATTTAGATTATATATACTCTACAGATTACTATAAATTAGTGCTATTTTTGATAATCATATCATTGATGTAGGTACCTACTATTTCTTGCACTTTATGAATTATTTCATGCATTTCGTAACTTACTCTTATGTTAGTCACAAACTAATTCTATTTATTACAATTATTTATTTGAATTGATTATATTTTGAATTTACGTTTAAATTATTGTTGAATAATGCTAAGAAGATTCAGATTATACATTTTTCAAGGATTACTATATATAGTACTTTTTTAAAAAGAAATCTATATCATAGTACCATGTTATGCATTTCGAAAAGTAAAAACTTCTGGAATACATTCATGTTTAAAGTAAATTACAATTATAAATTTTAATCAAAATAATTTTATATAATTTCTTTCAGGATTCGTGAAGAAATGGCGCATAATGAGAGATTGTTGACACAATATTTTGTTATCTTGGTGATCGCTGTTTCATATGTTTTTGCTGCTGCGGCAGTTCAAGGTAATTACATCTTTATAATCTGCTATTATTTCAAAACCTTGTGAATATTAATATTATTTTGATTAGATTATTGTAAGTATTTTGATGATGATTGTTATTACTTCTTTCTATATTACTTTCATTATTACATTATTACTTCTTTTTTTTGCTTTTAGTTATTTTCTCTCTTTAATTCGATAATTATGGAAGAACGCATTGTTTTCAAAGATATTCGTGAAAATAACTATGATTTAATCGAAAATCATTACAGACTTAATATCTAGTTATTTATTGGCCTCACTTAGAGCTTTTAGTCACACCTACACCTACACTATAAGATTTTTTTACATTTCATAGTATCTTATACATATACAATCTGTATCCTATTATATACGTTTTTTTAATTTCTATTCTCTCTTTATAATTGACTTCCATGCTCTTTTTTTGTGCTAAAATTTCTTCCTTTTCTAACGTTTAATTCTATATAGAATTGATAGAATATTCTATCATTAATTAAAATCGTACTTAATTTCAATCCAACAAATCAAATAACAATTCTATGTCAGTGCCAGGATTCGACCCAAGTATCCCTGTCGTGTGATTCATGCGTGCTACTGACTGAGCTATTCCCACCACAATATCTAGGTTATTAGAGATTTAAGAGTTTGCAATTAAATATCTCAGTTAATATAAATATATTATTTTGCAAATAATACAAAATGAGTTAAATAATTATGTTTCTAGATTAAAATCTTTACTACCAGGTTTAATTATTACTTACAGCTTCTTCGCACAATCATGAAACAACGGTATCAGTTAACTACTCATTCGTTTGAATTCTATAATTGAATGTTTTTTATAAATTATTTATACAGACGTTTAAAACCTATTAGAAGATGAGAACATAAAGATAGAAACCGTTAGATTAGAAATACATGCAATAAGCTTGATTTGAATATTTCACAGATTTTATACTCATTTATCAGCTTCCGTAATTAAATTGTGGTGCTCTATGCATACGAGGAGATTAAATACAGTTATAAATATCCACATGGATTTTTATTATATCAAGATACGTATATTAGTCATCCATAATTAATTATACATATTTGTCATGTGCTAGATCAATGCAATAATCAAAGCTGAAGTATTGATGTTGCAGTTGGTAGCAAAAACATTTTCGACTCATACGTAAAAAGGTGCTTTTAAGTTTAGACGAATCATATTTGGTCCATTGATGTTTTTATCTTATCTAATATTACGGCCACAGTTATAAATTGACGAACTAAGGGCTGAAGTATTTGCAAAAAAGTGAAAGATTCAAATATTAATATTTTTTATTAATTATTGGTCAAAATTTATGACTATCAGCAAATCAATCGATAATGGTATTTGGTCCTTATATAATTAATTCTTTATTTTAAGAGCAAATATTCCGATTTGCTATATGTTGAAAGAGATAAATTGAATTATATAAACCAACGCTCAGTGTATGAACATTTATCAAGATCAAAAAAATGTCTAAATTGTTTGGTTGATCGCTTATTCATCTATTTTCCTACGTATTTCCTATTATCTGAGAACATTTGCAACATATTGGCAAAATAAGCAGTTCAGATGTTTAGATTATTATTATTTTAAACATTTTTTTTTTCAAGCGGTTCTGATTTATTTGTAACTGACTTCTTATTGATTTTTATCGAGTACAAAGACAGTCAGACGTCAGTGGGACTTTGGTTTGGGTATTTTAGTAATTAAGGTTTTTTTATAAAGCCAAGGAATTGTGTTTATGCATCCCAGGCTTGGTCTTTTGACTGGGTATGTAGGAAACAATATAACCTGGGTCTAGTACCAACTAAAACCTCATCTTATCTCTTCTCTGGTCTCCACGCAAACTGTTGTTAGGCAATACTACATAAGGGGATGATCTAGAAACCTACAAATCTTTCACTGAATTACACTTTTCTTCTAATTATTGCCATTAGTTCTTCTTTTTTTCGAAGTTCGCAAGTCCATTAATAATGGAGATGGCTGCTAATCATTGGCGGACTAGGAAATGTTAAATTTAATAGTCAAGCTTCATTATCGGTGTACCATATAAAAATATTATAATATTGAATGTTTAGGAATTGCATGATTTTATATTGATTTATCTCATTAAGAAAAATTTAATCGATTAGCCATCTGATACAAAGATAAAACTATATAGGAAAACTACATTTTCTCAATGCTGAAGAATTGATTTGCCATTTTTTCATCTCATAATTTCTTGATTTATGTCGACTAAAGTTAAATAAAAATAAAATTTGGTGATGTTGTGACATAAAAATGCAATCACTAGGTTTGATTGATTTTTATAGAAATGGTATAGATATGGTATTGAAATTTAGACATTCATGAATATGGGTTTAGAAAAAAAGCATTTAATTCCCCTGTCACGAAATCAAGTTTACATTAGGTATTTTTATTATGCTATTTTTATTTAGTTTATCTCATTTACAAATCTGTCTTTCTGGTGAAATACACTTCATATAAAAGTTTTTTGTACAATTTAAAACGTACAAATTTCAATAAATTGTACGTTTTTGCATGAAAATTTGACAAATTATCATATTGTTTAATTTATTAAAACAATACGTATCTATATAATTTTATATCACTTAGTAGTGAAATTTAAGGTTTTCGAACTAGGAAGTTTCAGATTTGATACTTAACTTTCTGATAACGAGCAATAGTGATATCGGCATTGATTTGAAAATATTGATTACTACTATTTACGTAAATCAAGTTCATTATTATTATTTTTAACAGCGATCAGAACTTGAGGTTCTATGAGCTGTTGTGATGAATATTTACTAACTACTACTTACTACCGACTTATACTAAGTAGTAATACATACTAATTACTAATACTTATAAACTACCGGATAGTTTATAGATGGATCCAAACACCTTGTCGCACCTCTTCTCTATATGATTAATATTAGTATTACTACAGCTTCTATGATGCTGATAAATTTTTAATAATGCAACAATACCGGGTAAGGGCTATTCATATTCGGAAACATATCGCTATCTACATTTCTAAGTCAACTACGCATGTGACTACTGCTTGACATCGGGCTCTCGAAGCGGGATCGAACCGCAGGCTTCTAATTCAGGTCCAGTCGCTCTAACCACTTACCTACAAGCGAGTAGGAAACTAGTTTATTAACAGTCTGCAACTAATCTCGAACACTGTTTCAATATGTTAAGAATTGATCGGTAACGCCGAATTTAAATTGGAAATGACGTGTCCGTCGATCCGTCACCTGTCACAATGGGAATTGGCGCCACAGAATCAAGTTGTTCGAAAGCATAACCTGCATATTATAATTATAGTCTGAAACTATTATAACAAATTACGCTTTTAATATGAAGCATCATGTAACCGGATACGACGGGACATGGAATTTGTAGTAGACGGGACAAATTCTATAGACAGAGAGCTGGGGGCACATCTGCTTCAGAAAATAATCTTATTTGACTCTGGGATTTTATGTTAATTTTCTTTAAAATATATGTCAACATTACAGAACAGTGTATATTATTGAATTAATTAATTATTAAAAAAATGGATTCTGTACTTAATTTGGAATTAGCTCAACTTAACTAATTAAATTATGATTACAATAGAATATGTACAATTTAATTTTGTAAAAAATATATTACATTATTCAATTACATTTTATACAAGATTTATCATTTATGCAGATATTTACAATAATAAAACTTTTTGTTCATTTGTATTAATAAAAAGAAGTATGTATACTAGGACAATATTATTGGTTTTAGATCTCGTATCGCAATTGCGATCATCTTAATATTTTATTAATAATTTAATGGATATGTATTCAATTTCATTCTAACTGGTTTAAATACCGGAATGTTTTGGTAACACTATGTGGTCTACTTGTCGCAATGTGAAGTATTTCATTCTAATTTAAGCTCTTATAATTTATAACACCTCAATACACATGCAGAATGTAATTAAAAATTTTTACTAATTAATGAACAATTGAACGTTTTTAAAAATTAATACGATAATTATTATATATAGAACAGAAATATTTTTGATTTCACAATAAACGAATAATAAACGAATACATGAAGTAACGTGGATGTAACACATACATTAATATGAATCTTACTTAATTTAAATTAGACATTTGCTGTGTTGACTAAAAAAATTATGAAATAGTAATGAAAAACTGCTGTTATTTAAAATCTGCTATTTATTTTTTAGGTTTTCGACCTATGTACGTTTCATCTTTAGGATATATATAAAAGGCATGATCTTGTTTAGAAGATTTACAAACAAAACTAATGTTATAAAATTTATGAATATATAAATGATATGATTGAAATGTGTAAAAATATCAAAGTAAAAACTGAAGCTTTTTAATAAAAATGTTGAAAAGGAAATTTAAAAAATGTACTTTTTCTGCATAGCTAGTTTATATATTTTTTATACTTTATTTATACTACTTCGATTTGTTAATGAAAGCAATGAGCAGAAATTGTTAACAATATATGAAGAAGTGATAGAATTATGATCCTATATTAAAAGATATGCTTAGTAATGAATCAGAAGTATAATATTAAAATAAATCGAAAACAATAGGTAAAATAATAAATTAGTGAAGACAAGAAAATTAATAAAAAAATATCTAATTGTAAGTGAGTACAGTGGCTAATTTGCGCTTTGGTCTGGTGGTAACTTCTTGAATACTGACTTATTGGTTAAATCGTTCGGATGGACGTCGATTCTGCTTTTGTAATTGGAAGCTTTTGTAAATGAAAAGAAAATTTTGTATATCACTAAAAACTTAAAAAAAAGTAATAACTGGAAATTATTACTGATAGAATATTCTATCATTAATTAAAATCGTACTTAATTTCAATCCAACAAATCAAATAACAATTCTATGTCAGTGCCAGGATTCGACCCAAGTATCCCTGTCGTGTGATTCATGCGTGCTACTGACTGAGCTATTCCCACCACAATATCTAGGTTATTAGAGATTTAAGAGTTTGCAATTAAATATCTCAGTTAATATAAATATATTATTTTGCAAATAATACAAAATGAGTTAAATAATTATGTTTCTAGATTAAAATCTTTACTACCAGGTTTAATTATTACTTACAGCTTCTTCGCACAATCATGAAACAACGGTATCAGTTAACTACTCATTCGTTTGAATTCTATAATTGAATGTTTTTTATAAATTATTTATACAGACGTTTAAAACCTATTAGAAGATGAGAACATAAAGATAGAAACCGTTAGATTAGAAATACATGCAATCGATTATAGTATTAGTTATTAAATTTGTTTAAAAGTTAGTTATTTTTATTTAGTAAATATATTTAACATATGTCAGAAGAATGCATTTAAAATCAGCAAAGCACTATCCTGCATGGTTTTAAATATAATCTTTAAAGAAAGCCGCTTTATTGCTATATGCACTTCAGCGCTATGATTATTGAGAGCCCAAGAACGCGAAACACGTCATCGTCTTCGAGTTGAAAAACGATGTGATATGACCAACTGACACAGTCTTCGAATCCGGAACATTGCCCATTTGGATATTATATTGGTACATCCGCGGAGCCGATGCCTTGGACAATTCAGAAATTCAGAAAAACACAACAGTTCGATGGATGATTATGACTAACCCCGGATCTTTGAATTTACTTGTCAATTTATACTTTCATTTTGCAATATTTTGATATAGGTACATAATTGCTAATCATTCATCTGCCAAATTTTGCTCTTCTTATCACTAGCCTAATAATAGGTGGTCACATTTCTTCAAATCAAAACCGGGACGGTAATTTTTAGTTATGGTAATCCTGGATAGGGGAGGGGGTAAAATCTATATGATCTTTCAAGTTTTAAATTTTTCATAAAATTTTGTCCAATTTCCCTCATAATTACTTAAAAATAATTAGCAGTTATACCAGACAGTCAAAAAATTTATTTTCCTAATTTTTGTTAATTTTCGTAAAATTGAAAATAAAAGTTAATAAAACTCAAAATGATGAATGTGAGAGGCTATTTTAACTCGCTTTGGGAATATTGTACACGGCAATTTACTCATATTACTGATAAAGTAGATGTTGTTTCATATAAGCATACTATTTGTACGTAACATCTTCAGTTATTTGATGTTAGTTATAATTTTATTTTCAAGTAAGAGCAAAGATTCAATTTTATCCTACACTTTTTCAAAACCCGAGACTATCCTGGACAAAAGATGTAAATCTGGGCCAAATATCTTAGAAAAACCCGGGACACATGGTGGAAATCTGGTACTGTCCAGGCTTTCTGCATTGAATTGATAAAATTAATTTAACTAATTAAATCCCTTATTCCTTCATAGAATATTTCCATATTACTACCTATTTTTATTATATGTTTGATATTATCTATTATATATTCATATGTTTAATTTATATTTTCAGAAGTAGAAAAATTAAAAGATTCACCTGCTCCATGTCCGCCTTTGGTGTCATGGAACGCATGTCCTGACCGAGCTGCCAATTGCACGGCTGATCAAACCTGCTCCGGGAAGAAGATCTGCTGCGCCAGTTCCTGTGGGGATGTCTGTGTCGACCCACTTCTAACATGTAAGTAATATTTGAATTTTTATATACTTTCTGTGTTATAAATCATCTCATTTAAACAATTTTTACTTTAATTGATTCTCATTTTTATAACTGCAACAATAAATTCATAATTAAATAGTTATCTTATAACTAATTTATAGCAGATTTTGTAAACTAAAACGTTAAACTTTATTTAGTATAATGAAAATTTGCTTTAGCAAACTGCTTATTCTTCTAATAAGTCTAACGTGTCTCTAAAGAAATAATATATTTATATATCATAAAATATATGTAATATGTAATATGTAAATAAATAATATATTATGTATAATTTATTTATTTAAGTATCAATCTTGAATCATTATGTTCAAATAATCAATTATGAATTATTATGTTCAAACTTGTTTAAAATCCTTGGTGTTAAAGTTTCAAAAACTTTTTTACTATAACCAAAGCTGAAGCAAACCTGAATTATTTCTGTTCACGAATTTGAATAAATCCAGAACTTACCAATAAATAGTCATGGGTACTATTTATTTGTCATAAATACAAATTTATTAAGTCATATAATTTAAAGATTATTCGGAGTGGCTTTATGCAAATGCTTATCTTTACGTTTGAATACATAATAAAATTTCTTATGGCGGTTCGCAGATTTGTCGCAGTGTACGATGGTGGAAAAAGTAGAGGATATTTTATTTCTAAAATACTCAATGGATATAATTTTCATATTTTTGTTGGCTTCAAAAATAAACATTAATAGTAAAGGAGAATGGATACGGTGGTCCCACATTTTTTGACTAGCAATAGCTTTATTAATTTATCAGTTGTCTGGGATAGAAGTAAATTAAATGGTAATTACTAATTATTCTACGTGGAAATACTGAAATACTGTCTTCAATTACGATGAATTGATAATAAAATCAAACCATACAAAATAAGGGTCACCAACACAACCGTCTACAACCCCAGGACGGTTGTGAGGAGCATAATTTTTAATATTCAATTTTATTTTGCAATCTGTATATATAATAGCAGAGAATACTGACAAGTCTATGATAAAATAAAGTTGATTTTAAATTAGTAGATACAACCAGTGACGTATCTACTAGAGCTAATTAAAATATAATAATAAAAAAAAATAAAAACAAACGGAAAAAAATAATTTAATAAACTATAGAAAATTGAATGTATTATAGTTGAAATAGGTTGAAAATAATAGCTAAGAACACTTGCTAAATAATATTAATAAATATAGCTAAAACACTGAAATGGTTTAAAACGACTTTTATTATATATTAGAAAAATGTATTACAACGCAACATAATAATTTAAACAAAGCTTATGAATATAATATAACAATATGTAGCAAAACAGAATGTTTTGAACAAGAAGAAATTTTTGTGATATATTTTGTTTTCTTGTATTAAAATTTCCTTTTTCTTTCTCTTTCGTATTTCGTCTTATTAGTTAGGATAGATTTCTTTATCAGTTAAATCTTCATCTGAAAACTACATGAAATACATGTCACATCAAACAAATTCGATAATAGAGTCAAAGTAATCTATCAGCATACAAGAAACAGTTATTATTAAAAGAAATCGTACAGAAAAACTTACTTTCTCCCATTGAACCCTATATCAAAATCAGTATAGTTAAAATGTTATGACCATTGCTACTCTGACACAACCGTACCCAGTCCCTCTTATTGCTTTAATGAATCAGTTTCTGAGTAAAAGTGGTGCAAACTTTTGGCAGTCAGGGCTCATTTTTTGGTTCTGAAGCTTGTTGTTGGACATCCACTTTCAAATATTGCTTAGAAAGCAAAATAAATTGGAAAACCACGACAATTTTTACCTTGTGTAAAACTTTTAGTCACACAGGCGGATTCAATAGAAAACACTGTCTATTTTGCAACGTATTCAATATATTTGTATATAAATTCTTTGCGCGCAATGAATATGTTCGTTGTATCACAACGTATAGAGAATCACAAGGTGTGAATCAACGGCACGCATCGTTGCAAAATTTAGGAAAGTTTCAATCGAAGGTTTCTGACGAATAGTTTCTTTTTTATTGAGAAACGGAAAACCCAACTTATTAGTTGTATGAGCATATTTTTACCACGGCGCAAACCGAATCAAAAGTTCAATATCCGCTGCTGCGGACTGCTGCAAAAGTGCGCGAGGAATTATTATTTTCTTCAGCAATACTATGCAATAGTAACTACTTTCTCGAGTTTCCAGTTTCCAGCAATTCTGAATCAAATGAGGCAAAATTAGGAAAAAGTATGTTTATGTGTATGTGAGCTGTTTTTTGATATTTTGTCGTTATTTTCTTAAAAACGGCTGAACTGATTTAAAAAATTTAAAAACTATTCCATGTCTCTCGATAAGGAATAGCTTTGGTCAGTTTTGTGCGACGATAGGCCAATCCGTTTCTTTGCATTTAGCCGTTTTTTAGCAGAAAATTGTAAACATTCTGTCTACGTTTTAGCTCAAAATTTCAAATCTATTTCAAAAGTACAAAAACTGTTAAAAAAATATCGGTTGGGAATTGCAATTAATAATTTTTGGTACTTATAAATTGACCAAATTAAATTGTTGAATTTGTTTAAAAGTTGAGAATTTGCAGCACGCTTAAGCGATTCTAATCAGAATCTATGCCAAAGCATATATAAATTTAGTGTTTGTAAGTATAATAGTTATTGATTATAGTTCACGTCCAAACTTATAAGAAAAATATATAAATATTTTTAGAACCCAAAATGGATGAAATGAAATGTGTTGAATGAATCAATTGAATTTATACAATTACTGAAAATATAAGTATGTTCGAAAGATATCAATTGGAAATCATAATGGTATTTTGTGGAGGCGAAAATTTTATGTCCGAAATAAAAGTTGAACATTTTAACAAAATAGCTAAATCTCAATTCTTACTGATTATGTTGATGATGTATACGTATAGAAAAGTTTATGAAACTTGCCTTAAGGCAAAATGCCACTTACAACTAGTTAAAATATGAGATACTAGTATATAACGATACTATATTAAGTATACAACTCTCTAACCTCAAAGCTTCAGAAAAACTACTACTTAAAATTCTATTCTAATTGATTTTTCTTTAGAATTATTTGTAACGATAAAATGGGTAAAATCATTATGATATCTAGACATTTTGAAACTTATCATGAATATTATATACAATTACGCCACACACACATATATTTTGCAACTAAATGCAATATTGTTCACATTTAAGCTCATACTACCGAAATGATTTTAAAAAATCAGAAACTGTTCGGGAATGATACTGTACTGATTAGTTTTAGGTGAAAATCTACCGAGCCGTTTTCTTGTAATTATCTGTTGAAAAAAAAAATTAAGCCGATTTTTATGGAACTTTTTTGGCGATATATATCATGGTCTTATAGAACTTACTAAAATATTACGGCCTTACAACAAGCAGTTTAATATAAAAAATTTGTCAAAGTTTGAGAAAATGAATAGTTTTTTGTCGTTTGTTAAAATTAAAATTAGACGATTTACTTTATTATATAACGATGTTTATTTATAACGATAGAGTACTTGGTCTTAATGAACATACTAAACCATTGAAGTCCTGCGGAAACTGGTTCAGTTATAAGAATTGTTGATTTTTGAAAACACTCCGAGTTAACATGGTCGTTCGTTTTCAATTATGTGTAGTAAATTCACTCGTAATACTGTTAATCACTCATAAATTAATTTATTTTTTATTGATTAAGTCGATTATTCACGCATATCAGGAAGTTCATGTAACTTGCCTCAAGGCAAAATACCAATACCAACTAGTTAAAATATGTATAAAATTAATATAAATTATTTCTTACAAACATTGAAGATGAGATTGAAGCTAGTTAAAAAAGATGAAAAGTTGTACTACTCATTGTTATGAATTTTGGTTTGAAAAAATGTTTTCGTTATGCACAAAAATAACTAGGCGACAGTGGTAAAATCCAAATCATAATAACATCATACTTTTTACTCTTTTTCAATCAGTTCTAACGAGATCCCGTTAATTTAAGATATGACACACATCACACGCCAGACTGTTTGTGTTTTTTTTTTGTTAGCCTAATGACATACTTCTAAGTACGATTTTTGTCGTTCGTCCATATATGTAACACGATTTCAATAACTCATATTAACCACAAAGCAGAATCCATCGGATGAATACAAATTAATCACGAGTCCTTGGCATTATTTATTAAATCGATTTAATTGTCAAGAAATATAAAGTTGTCTGCGTCGAACGTGATATGTTGACATATCGCTGCACCTTGTTCTTGGCTGACAATGAGTGATATAGTTAGGATGATGTCACATGGTAAAATACCTTGTGCGAATTAAATTTTTTGGGAAATTAATCGATTTAATAATAATCGTACCATATCAAAATTGTTTACTGATTTGGATAAAAAACATTAGACAAGGCCTATACCAAAATATAAAACCAAATGAAATATAAATTAATGTTTGCAAAACTTATATTTAATAAGTATGATATTTAACTTATTATTGTAATTTATTCGCACCTATATGAATATGAATATACAAAAATCATATTAATTGACATGTTAAATAATAAATATATGAATTCCTTATATATAACTATTATTACTATTATAATAGTACTATAGTATTGTAAAGTCAAATTCAATATTACTATTTTCTATTTAATGAATTTTTATTTAATTTCGATACGTTGAAGAACACGTTTATATACAATGTGTCAATGTGATCGCTTCAAATATTTAAACCTCAAAAGTTTGAACAAAACATAATTAATTTTTTAATTAAATAATTTAATTTTTAATACTCTGATGTCGATTAATTTGAATGTGATGAATCTATAATTCTACATTATTGATTAAGTAATTATAAGATTATGGTGATTATGATGGTTAGGTTTGGTTAAGACTAACAGAGTAGAAAATTAGACCTTGAAAGTAATAAATACTATTTTTGTTTTCCTG